GTGATCCTTTGGCACACTCTGGACACATTCCAACAGAAAATAACATAAACCACTGGAGAAAACATTATCCTCAAGGCCCAGTACAGCCAGAAATACCATAATAACCATCAAGTGAAAGCTGCTGAGAACTTGAGGAAAACTAGCAGAATCACATTCCCAACCCACACTCCCCAGCTAGCTTCTAGCAAAAGCCATGTGGCAAAACAGCCAAAACAGTCTCGGTACCATATACCAGATGAAATCCTGATTGAAATGGGTGCAGAAAATAAATTCCATTCTGGTGTAACTGAAGTTGCAATGCATGCTGTCATCCATAATTACCGGCTATTGTGTCATGCATTCACCCAACCAGGATGGGTTATTTGTTTTAGCAGATAGCAGACCATGAGGGCAGAAGAAACAATATATTATCCTTAACAAATTGCTACTGAATTGGTTAGAAGCGGGAGAGAGCTGGAGACTTAAACATTTCTCAGAAGAAGGAGAAGAAGGAGAAGGAGAAGGANGCAAGGCTGAGGGAGAGAAGAGGATAGGATAGGGGAGGAGTCTGTGGGGTAAGCCTGAGGGAGAGAAGGGGAGAGGATAGGTGGGGCTTCTGTGGGGCAAGCCTGAGGGAGAAAAGGGGATAGGAGAGGATCAAAGGGACCAGCCTGTGGAAGAGAAGGGGAGAGGAGAGGACAGGTTTCTGTGGGGCAAGGTTAAGGGATAGGGGAGGATTCTTTGGGGAAAGCCTGAGGGAGAGAGGAGGAGAGGAGAGGCAGATGGTAACTACTCATTAATTTTCAAGCCGTAACTGTCGATTTATCAAGCCCAATCACATAGTTTCGCAGAGCAGCACAGATATTCAGCTAGTAGCAGATAACTGCCAAGCTAATATAAAACTATTTCATGCTGGAATACATTTCATAGGAACGAAATCAGAGATAAGGAATCTTTAGTCCTCCAGACCTAAACATTATACTTATATTATGGCTGAAAGAGCACTATCCAGCCTCTGTTTCAAACACAAGGCTCATATTTATAAGATATAAAGAGTAGTGTTGTAAAACATGTTTGATGCTTTGCCAGCAGCTTTTCCCATCTAGTGTACTTGCATGAACTCGTGTGGGAGATGTTCAGAGTTCCATTTTTAATCCCCAGCCTGACATGTCAAATTTGTGAGTTTATGCAACAAATTTCCTGGATGATGCTGCGGAAAATACATGAGTACAAATTCTAAGTTAGCTTGTAAAATGATAGTAATCAATATTTATAAAATACACTCAATTACAAAGTTACGGTTTTATTTTATTTTTATTTTATTTTTGCATGGCCAATGTTCTCTATATTTCTTAGGGACCCCAGTGTAGCTTTGCCTTCACCCTCTTTTAAAAGCAACAAAACATTCTGCAAATTAATATTTCATTCTGGTTTTAGTATTGAGTTTTGATATGTGTAAACAAAAACAAAATATTTTTCAAGAGATCCAAATAAAAACAGTAATGTCTACATACTGTTATCTATGTCTTATTCCTGTCTTATTTCTATATCTTATTTCACATTATTTATTCTTATGCTTGTGCAGATGTGATTGTTATATTCTTTATAAATGGATTGTAATTTTTCTAGCCTTTTGTGTTCCTCCTTTTTCTCCTGCAGCCCATCTTCGATAGTTCTATCTGCTGACAATTTGTAAGTCTGGAAATTTTCCCTGCTTGTAGAATAGGGAGGAAACTAAGGTTTGTTCTTCTTTTGTCCCAGTCCTAGCGATCTTTACGTTAAGCTCAGATTGTTGTTTTGAGAGTTCCAGCTAGTCTCCGTTGCTTCTGGCATGAACCATCATTGGTGATCCTGGCTAAAATTCCTGGAAATGGAGAAAAAGGTCATTGGCTACAGGTAGTTCTCAATGTACAAACACAATTGAACCCAAAATGTATGTTGTTAAATGAGACATTTGTTAAGTGAGTTTTGTCCCATTTTACGACTTTTTTCACCACATTTGTTGAGTGAATCTCACTGCAGTTATTAAATTAGTAACACGATTGTTAAGTGAATCTGACCTGTTTGTCAGAAGGTCGCAAAAGGAGATCCGAGGTGGCGCAGTGGTTAAATGCAGCACTGCAGGCTACTTCAGCTGACTGCAGTTCTGCAGTTCGGCTGTTCAAATCTCAGCGGCTCAGGGTTGACTCAGCCTTCCATCCTTCTGAGGTGGGTAAAATGATGACCCGGATTGTTGTTGGGGGCAATATGCTGACTCTGTAAACCGCTTAGAGAGGGCTGAAAGCCCTATGAAGCGGTATATAAGTCTAACTGCTATTGCTAGATCCCATGACTCTGGAACACTGCAACCATCATAAGAGTGAGTCAGTTGTCAAGCATCCAAATGGAAATCTCATGACCACGGGGATGTTACAACAGTCATAAATGTGAAAAATGACCATAAAGTCATTTTTTTCAATGCCATTGTAACTTTGAATGGTCACTAAATGAACTGCTGAAAAAAGTTTCCCCAAAAATAAGACAGGGTCTTATTTTCCCCCCCAATAAGCACTTGGTCTTATTTTTTAGGAGGTATTATTTTTAGGTGCAAGAGGCGGTGAGCATGATCACCTCAGTGCTGCTGCTGTGCTGCAATATTTTGGGGGATGGCTCATTTTGGGGGGGGGTTCAGGGAAACAGAGTATTGAGGCTTGGCTGTGCTGCTCCTGCTGGACAGATGAGTCCTCTGTTTTAACCATTACCAATGTGATATCCTAACTGGCACCATCACCTCACTATTCCTAACTCTTCAGTGTCATGCTGCTCTCCTGCATGCCAACTCACCTATGCCTTGTCATTCTGTAGAATGCTTACTTCTATGAAAATGTGCTAACACAGCTCTTTCCTGCCACACACACACAAACACCCAGAGAGCTTTTTTCCCCCATCAGAGCAAAGGAAGATCTTCCATTTTCTGTTGGACCTGGATTTGAGGCAAGAAAGAGGGGTTTGTTTGTAGTGACCACTGCAAGAATCTTCTCCCACAAAATAATTGTGGAAGAAATATATAGCATTTTTCAGAAAAGGCATACCTTTTCAGCTGCTATTGAAAAAGATAATACAAAATCTTTAAGGGTTGGTATTTTATTTGCCTTTTTTTTATCCACAGCAATGCTGAATTTCAGGGCAAAGAATATAGTGGTATAGAAACATTATTTTGCAATTTTGTCTAGTTTGGTCTTAAAAGTCACTGTAATTGCCTGTACTAACTATAATTAAACTATTTAAACTTCCAACATTGCATGGGTTTTATATCACATTGCGTTAAATTAGTTCAAGTTTCAGATATCTCTGAAGTTTAAATAACTGAAGCATTAAATATATCATGAGCGTCATAGTTTGCATTACTGAAATGCAGACATTGTTATGCTGAGTGACTAAAACAGTCAATAATATAGTCCGTATGGAATCTGTAAGGCCATAATGTTATGTTTAAATTTAGAAATGGATTTTTATTAAGGGTGTGCATTTGTTTCACAACACAGTATCACTTACAGCCTGTAAATGTAAGGTATTTATATCTTGAGCATTGGCTTTGAAAATATACTCACACATCCATGGTTTGTGTTAATGTTTCATTAAGGCTAGTGGAAGGTGTGGAGTGAAGTGTTACATAGTTTTTTTAAAAATCTGTTGGGAATTTTAAGTACCTCTGTGTGTGGTGAAGATATTAAAATTATTGCTTTCCCCAAGTCAGATCTGATTGATTCTGGATGATGTGAAAAAATAAAATCTATTTGTAGAAAAATTAGCAGACTTTAGATCCTTAACTTTGCTTCCTCTTGAACTAAATATGATAGATGCAATTTATTAAGTCAGGTCGGATGGTTTTTGAGAGGTACTGGATGGCCAAAGAAAGTACGGTTGAGGTAGCTGATGTTTTATAATTTTAGAATTCTTGATGTCTTTCTAATGTTCTCTAATATTCAAGGCTTTGTTTTTTAATAACTGTAGTTTGATCAGTGTACATGGTTTCTAAATGGAGATTACCGAGAAGATGCTTTCATTAAGATAAAAGTATAGTACAAGCCAAATGATTGTACTGTCATTAGTCATCAGTTTCTCTGTCATTGCTGTAGTCCTTGGACTTGATTATCCTGGGTTTTAACTAACATCAAGGATCTTAATAATAAATATCAATCTTTTTTCCACTATCAATAATCCTATCCTTGGCATTTGAAGGTTTTTTTTTGAGGGGATCTTATAAAGGGACGTGGTGGCTCAGTGGCCAAGACGCTGAACTTGTCAATCAGAAAGGTCGGCAGTTCAGCGGTTCATATCCCTAGTGCCGCGTAACGAAGTGAGCTCCCGTTACTTGCCCCAGCTTCTGCCAACCTAGCAGTTCGAAAGCATGTAAAAATGCAAGTAGAAAAAAATAGGAACCACCTTTGGTGAGAAGGTAACAGCACTCCGTGCACCTTTGATATTTAGTCCTGCCAGCCACATAACCATGGAGACATCTTTGGATAGCGCTGGCTCTTTGGCTTTGAAACAGAGATGAGCACCGCCCCGTAAAGTCGGGAACGACTAGTACACACACGTGTGAGGAGAACCTTTACTTTTACCTTATACAAATATAAATTATGGAGATAAATTCAGGAAGAGACATATAATGATAAAGAGTTAGGTATTTTGCGCGTCAAAAATAAAACTTGAACTTTCCNGGCATGCAGTTAACTCCACGCTTAGGAATCTCATTCAGATCAAGTTTATCATCAGGCATTCTTAATAGCAAAACTTACAGTTTAGGGTTAAGATACTTCGGACTTTCCATAATCTGTCCCATCACGTGGTGTAAACAGATGATGGTTTCGTTCCCATGCTGAGCGGAGACACAAACACTACTACTCTGGTTCACAAAGGCAGAATGCCCCAGTGGCCAATCAGAAACACAGATGTGATCACATGTCATGGAACTACATTTCCCATAAGGCAATCTCTGCCTACATTTCCCAGGAAGTAGTTTCTTAAAGGAGACAGTTCTTAGTTCCTACACTAGCTATATACTGCTGGGGCAGCACAGCCCTTGATGGAATAAGAAAACAGAATATCCAAAGCGAACCTGGAAGCTGTGAACTGTGGGCAGCTCTAACTAATCAACGTTTATGGATTGATGCCAACGATCTTTCTACTTCTGAGAAAATGGCAGCGGCCTGGGGTGCTGTTTGGGCTGCTCTGGTCCGCAGTTGCGGGAGGCGCGGGGCGCTCATGCTTGGCAGCTTCCGGGAACGCAAAGGCTGGACAGCTCCGTGGCTCGCAACCGCCTCCCTGCTCGGAGGGGGTGCCTTGGTGGCCTCCTGCCGAGGATGGAACAGGCGGGAGGGGACTGGCAGCTTCTTCCTGGTTCTGGCACAGGTGAGTGGGGAAACAGCTATTAAATTACATTATTATTAGTGTTTGCGGGAAGAACGATTGGGGGGGATTTTAGGCTGGAGATCCCTTATTCATGTTCTCTCTTGGCCTGCTGTCTCTAGATGTGAAGGACTACATCTCCCATCATCCGAGGCCAACATGGTTGCAATAGTGGGGGGTGCGGATGCTGGGAGTTGAAGTAGTAGCACATGGAGCAAGGGCGCTAGGTTGGAAAATCACAAATAGAATAACAGTTGGAAGGGACCTTGGAGGTCTTCTAGTCCAATCCCCCGTTCAGGCAGGAAACCCAATACCAAATAGAATGGAATAGAATAGAATTCTTTATGGGCCAAGTGTGATTGGACACACAAGGAATTTGTCTTTGGTGCAGATGCTCTCACTGTACATAAAAAGACAAAATACATTCATCAAGAATCAAGGTATAACACTTAATGATAGTCCTATACAAATAAGCAATCAGGAAACAATATCAATATAAACAAAGTTACAATCCTGCAGTCATAAGTGGGAGTAGATGGGTGATAGGAACAATGAGAAGACTAATAGTAATAGTAATGCAGCCTTAGTGAATGGTTTGACAGTGTTGACGGAATAATTTACTTAGCAGAGTGATGGCATTTGGGGAAAAAACTCCTTGTGTCTAGTTGCTTTGGTGTGCAGTGCTCTATAGCTTCATTTTGAGGAGTTGGAACAATTTATGTCCAGGATGCGAGGGGGTCTGTAAATATTTTCACTGATTAATTGTTCTGTCAGGAAATTTCTCCTTAGTTCTAGGTTGCTTCTCTCTTTGATTAGTTTCCACTCATTGCTTCTTGTCCTTCCCTCAGGTGCTGAAGTCTTTTTCGACTCTTAGAGATCACATGGATCTTCTTTAATGACAATGTGTCCTTAAATGGATCTTTCGGGTCTCCTAATGGTACACCCATCACTGCTTTAATTGAGTCCATCTATTTTGCTACTCACTCTGCCTCCACTTTCCCATCATTAGAGCCTTTTCCAGAGAGCTGGGTCTTTCCATAATGTTCCATAAAGTAGGAAAATTTGAGCCTGGCCATTTGTGCCTCAAGGGAGAACTCTGGGTTGATTTGTTCAATAATTATTGGTTTGTTTTCTTGGCCGTCCATAATATATTCTTCTCCGATACAGAAGCATCAATACTTTTCCTAGCCTCCTTCTCTGAAGTCCAACTTTCAATAGAGTGTCATAGGAAAATACCATGGTTTGCACAATTCTGATCTTCATAGGTATAGAAACCTCATAGCATTTGAATATTTTCCAAAGTCTTTGTGGCTGCTCAGCCAAGTGCATATTTCTTCACTACTTGTTCTTTTGCTGTTGATCCTAAAAGGCAGAAGGTATCCACACCTTTGGTATCTTCATTTTCAATTATAAGCCTGGTTATTGTGTCTGTTGTCGTTAGTTTGAACTGTATATTTAGTTTTAGTTCTAGGTTTTCATGGAAAACCTTGCAGATCCTTTCCATTTTTCAGCTACCGTGTCATCAGCATAGTACAGATTATTGTTGTTTCTTCTTGCAGTTTTAAAACCACGTTCATCTCCTTCCTCACCGGCTTCTCTTAATATATATTCAGGATATAGAGCGTATAAATAAGGAGAACATATACGTTCTTGCTACACTCTTTTGTGAACTTGGGAGCCAGTCTCCTTCACTGTATTCTATCTGTGCTGTGGCTTCCTGACTTGTATACAGTATGTACATTTCTCATAAAGAAAGTGAAATGTTCTCAGGTTCCCATTTATCTAAAGCTGCTTGTAACTTAATTTTAGGAAAATGTTTTTTGTCCTTTTTTGCTATTACATGTCTTCATGTGGTTTGAAGACGTTTTCCTTGGATCCTGTATGACAGCAGTCCCTAACCTTTCAGGATCTGTAGACCGACAGTGGCAGGAGGAGGGGATGGTTTCATGTGTGCAGCCTAATCCAGACATGCACAAATGGAGCTTTGTGCATTCACCTGCTCTTTTGACAACCAAAAAGAAGTCATTTGCTATTGTTATCTTCCAGGATATTTTTAGCTCCCAGTCTTGACTTTAATCCTAGAATTTCCTAGGGGTCTCCTATCTAGGTACTAACATATCAGCAGGTCCCACTGAATTTTAAAAGCCCCACTTTGTCAACTTTTCTGATATGTAAAAAGGTTACAGTGGGCTCTGCCGATATGTTTTCTAAGAGACAGAAGGTTTGTTATGCAGAATGTGATCGTTTAAGTCAGAATGCGTTGAAGGAGGAACAATGATACATTATAAAAATTAGGCCTCAACACAAATGAAAAACTAATTGTAATAGACTCCACACAGAATGATTGTATATCTGGAGAATATAAATAGTCCTCATTTATATTCATACCCGCACACAGCACTCCCTTGCTGCTCACAGTTCCTGTTGACCCACATGCTCTCCATATCTCCTGCCAGTGGCACCCTATGGCACCTATCCATTCTCATTCCTTGTAGCACCTGCCATTGCCATGCCCATGGCTCTTGTTTGGCCTTCCACCTTTTCCTGCTTAACAACCCACATAGTCCTGCAATTATGACATTAATTAGGTCTTTCAGGGTTACCTACTCTAAGTGATGTGGTCACATGACATCATGCTTTATGGACACATCCAATAGAAGTTCCAATCCCAACTGCTAGCATAACTCAAGGGCCACCTGTATATATATACCATTGCTTCTTGTTTTACTTTGAATTTCTTGCACAAATTTTTAAGAAGAATGATTAATTTGTATTTGTTATGTTTAGTGACTTCTCAGAAAAGATTTGACCAAATTCACCCTGACTGTTCTGTTAAAACTGTGTAGTTTAAGCAAAGTATTTGTAAGCAAGATATTTCATTAGGGTTAATTTTAGTACAGGTATATTACAAAAGAATATTACAGAAAAATGTTTTCCTTAATTAGATTTTATACTTTAATGGGATTATTATAAAAGTAAATACTTTGTCAATTATGATATTTGATTTACATCATGTTAAAGCAGTTTTATTGCATTGGTGGCTGTAAAATTAATTGAATTGATTGCTGAAATGTGCTTATGCAGGAATAATTTATACTAAATGTTTCTAGTACAGGATGATATATAATGTTTTGGAAACATATTTTTGACTTCAAAAAATAATTTTGCCTCCTTTGATTAAAAAGATGAAAACTTTTGAAGTTACTTTTGAAGGCTTCCTTAATATTTCTTTGAAAAATAAAGTAGAAAACTTTCTCTCACCAACTAAGAGTATCTTAGGGTTAGGATCTCACCAAAGCACATTAAAATACTCTCTAATAATGGAGTCTGGTTGCATAAGAAATAAAGCTGGAATGATGGGAAGCTGCTGCTTATGATTCTTCATACTTCGAGAGGAGTGTTTCTCATCCTTGGCCACTTTAAGATGGGTTGACTTCAACTTCCAGATCTGGCTGGGGAATTCTGAGATTGAAGTCCAGCCATCTTACAGTGGCCAAAGCTGAGAAATACTGCTCTAGACTGTTTAAGGAATTGTTTTTTCTAAAGTTCCTGAAAGGATGTTTGAGATAACTACTAACTAACTGTCTGTCTGTCTGTCTGTGGCTATGTGTGTGTATGTTCCAGCATAACTTTGGAAAGCCTCGAGCAATTTCAGCCAAACTTGGTACACAGATGTTTCTCTGGAAACAAATACTGTGGGAGTAACACACCCCTAACACACCTCGGGGTGTATGTTCTGTTAAGATGCAGCCTGTTGTGCCTTTAAATGACTTCCACTGAACTGCCGGAAAATGGATTCTACTATACAGCATAGTGGAGTTGCCATGGTAACGGCTTCACAGTACTCCACAGGGGGGCTTTCTCTGGTAAAGGGAAAAATCCAACATTAGAAATTACATTTGGTCTAGACTCCAGGTTATCGGTTAATTAGAAATATTGAACACTTTAAATATACTAATGTTTCCATATCACCATAATTAAATCAAACTTATTAAAGTGTACAGTTATGCCCTGAATTATTCAATTATGAAAATTTCATTTACTTTCCTTTTCTTTAATGTCCTTTAGATCTTTCCCTTTTTTAGAGTTTTGGGTGAAGGTAGTACACCAGCCTTTTGGGATGCTCAAAATAAATGTTATTCTTCTTTATGGATACTGTGTAGCAATAAGTGCAGTCATTTTCCAGTATTGCTAAATACCAAACATAGTGATACTTTATCTTTAGCACTGTATTTCCAATATCGGAGTCACAGTAATGTACTGCAGAAAAATTTAAGATGGGACACTTCTGTGAAACATCTGTTGTGGGCTTTGACTTAATGTTTATTTTCAGATGGCGTGCAATCCTCTGAATTAACATGCCACACCGTAGTGTACTTCTCTCATTAACTAAGCTCAGTTTTGAATGCTTCGTCTTTATGATGTAATTATTTGAACCTAAGTATTGAGCTCAACCTGTTCTTCACTACTGTTGATTTATTTTTGCTTTTTAACAGCCTTTCTGTAAGGCAGTGGTGGGTTTCAAAATTTTTTGGAACCTCTTCTGTAGGTGTGGCCTGCTTTCCGGGTCCACTGGTGGAACCTCTTTTAACCGGTTCAGTAGATTTGACGAACCGGTTCTACCGAATAGGTGCGTACTGGTAGGAATCCACCTCTGCTGTAAAGTGTGTATCAACTCCACCTTCTAAACTCAGTTTTCCAGTTTTCTTCTCTGGATTTTAAAAGATCAAAGTTCATAAGTTTTAAAAAACAAGTCCTTGCATATATACATGCTCTTTCACATGTTTTAAAAATATTCTATTCTTTTACGTTAAATACATTTTAGAAATTATTACTAATTTTGTAATATTGCTTGTTTAATCAATTTATTAGCCACCTCAATCCCCAGAGCAAGGATATGTGTGTGTGTGTGTGTGTGTGTGTGTGTGTGTGTGTGTGTGTGTGTGTTTTATTTGTGCTGTGTTTTTTTATTTGTG